GACCTTTGTCTTTGTGTGCGACTCTGCCGCAGGGATGAATGCCCTCTCGATGCGTCTTCTCCGCGGATGGTCCTCACTCCTCGCCACGGCCGCCGTGCTCATCTGGATCACGGTGCGGGTACCGTCCCTCCGTCCGTGTCCGCGTGTCCGTCTGAGTGAGTGTGTGAGAGCAAGTTGGTACAGTAGGAGGCACAGGTGGTGCATCAGCCAGTCATCTCGGTCATCTCGGTCAGTCGACCCGTGGCACCTGCTGGGTCTGCCCCGTAACCTCCTGCCAGCGGGCGTTCGACACTCCACGTGGCCTCAAGGTGCACTTGGCCTGGCACAAGCGTCGTGGTGACGTCACCGACACTTAGTGGCGAATGGCGGTTGTTGAGTGTGTGTGTGTTTGTCCGTCTGTGTGTGTATGTTTGGCCATCTGTGTCCGTCCATGTGGAGAGTGCCACTAAGAGGTGGGGCCTTACCATCAGCCCCACCAAAACTAGGCACCTGCCTGGGTATTTTGTACCATCGGACACTCCACCCCCACAACTTCCAATCGGTGATGGGGCAGTAGTGGAGAGAGTGGAGAGTTTCCCATACCTGGGCAGTGTGCTCATGCCCGGCTCCGGTTTAACAGCAGAGGTCTCACTCCGAATCAGTCGAGCGGCAATATCTTTTCATCGGTTGCGTAATGCTGTGTGGAAGCTACCTGGTCTGTCGCTCCGCACGAAGCTTCAAGTCTTCTCGGCCACAGTCATTCCCTCCCTTCTCTACGCTTGTGAAACGTGGACCCCCGTAATGGAACATCTTCGCCGGTTGGAAACATTTAGGCTGGCCTGCCTACGATCCATCCTGGGTTTAAGCAGGCTGGATTGTGTGAGGAGCTCACAAATCCATGAAAGATCTGGGCAAAGTCCCATCGGTGAGCTCCTCCGGCAGGCAAGCCTGCGTTGGCTGGGTCATGTAGCCCGCATGCCCAGCCACCGTATGCCAAAACAGCTTTTGTTCGGCCGGATCGAGGGGGCTAAACGGGCGCAGCACGGGCTAGAGAGGAGATGGAGTGATGTGGTACAGGAGGACGTGGAGCTGAGTGGACTTGCCGATGATTGGTACCAGCGGTGTCACGATCGGCCTCTGTGGAGGAGGCTCGTGAAGGACGCTGCTGGGCAATTGGAGGCAGTCGCCCTCCAGCAACAACGGGGGGCGGAGGAGTGACGCTCGCAAGAGCGCCGGGCAATTAAAACGCAGCAAGTTGGCACTATAGGGGGTACAGCTGGTGGTGCATCTACCAGTCATCTTAGTCAACCAACCCACGGCACCTGCCAGGTCTGTCCCAAGACCTGATGTCAGCGAGCCTTTCGACACTTCACGTGGCCTCAAGGTGCACATAGCCTGGCACAGGCGCCGTGGTGACGTCACCGCCACTTAGTGGCGAATGGCGCGGTTGTTGGTAATGGTGGGGAGTGGTCGTGCAGCGGTTAGCGCGCTGCGCTACGAACCCGCCAGTGACCCGAGTTCGATCGCCACGGCCACCGCCCACCAGGTCGTGGGCCTACCCTAGGTCGCCTCGGCCTCGTGACGAGTTCCTGGTGCGACGTGTAAAACATCGCCTCCCTTGGCGGGGGGGGGGGGGGGGGTGGGAGACACTCCTCGAACAGCACTTGCCCCGGCAGCCCGTTAGAGGCTACCTAGGCGGCGGGGGTGACCTTTGTCTTTGCCTGCGTGCTTGCGCGTGCAGGTGCATTGGAAGCTTCCAGACGAGGCCTGGCGCCGCGCGCAGCCTGGGACTCGCCCGGCGGGTCCCCGACCCCAAGCCCCCGGGAGCAGGCCGAGGATGAGGCCTGATGCGGGAGCTACGCTGGCCCTCTCCGCCACGGTGGCCTGTGGCCTACGAGGTTTGGGCTGCCGGGTTTCACCCTCGCCTCTACGCATTCAGAATCAACGTTTGTATCAGAGGTCGCAAACGGGTTTTGATTCCTTACCCGTACCCGCCCGCACCAGGGTCGCAAACGGGTACCCGTACCCGGCCGTACCCGTACCCTACCCGTACCCAGATTTGAAGCTTTCGTGACTGCAAGGATTCATATTCTTATGTTTTTTCGGTAAAGTCACGTAGGTAAAACGTGACTTTACCGAAAAAACCTAAGAATACTACCCGTACCCGGTCAGGTACGGGTAGGGTACGGGTATCGGGTACCTGAATGCGACCTCTGGGATGAAGCCATGTTGCAGGCGCGGGTGGGTTGATTCTAGGAACTTGAATTGTGAGAAGAGACGAGACGTTGGGAAATGAGTGACAAACGGTGACTCACCAGTGACTCACGGCCTACCCGTACCCAGCCGCACCAGGGTCGCAAACGGCTACCCGTACCCGGCCGGGTACGGGTAGCCGGGTATCGTGTAGGGTACGGGTATCGGGTACCCCGGTTGTGACCTCTGCGGCAGAAGCAGGAGAGGAAGCTGCTTTTACTCGGTTTGGGAAAAGCAAGACCGCCCCCTGCTGGCAGGCTCATGCCCAGTTCTCATCAGAGGGAAAAAAACCAGAGGACCCGGAGAAAAGTCCACGCGACCACGGAGAGAGAGAGACACGCAAACTCCAAATATACAGCAGCAGGCATCTTCAGGGTCGCGATCGAACCCACGGCCCTCCTGTAGACCAGGCAAGGTAGTCAACATCTCCTAGCCACCGTGATGATGATGAGAGAGAGAGAGACTCCAAATATACAGCAGCAGGCGTCAGGGTCGGGATCGAACCCACAGCCTCCTGTAGACCAGGCGAGGTAGTTGACATCTCCTAGCCACCGTGATGATGATGATGAGAGAGACACGAAAACTTCAAATATACAGCAGCAGGCGTCAGGGTCGGGATCAAACCCACAGCCTCCTGTAGACCAGGCGAGGTAGTTGAGATCTCCTAGCCACTGTGATGATGATGAGAGAGAGAGACACGCAAATTCCAAATATACAGCAGCAGGCATCTTCAGGGTCGCGATCGAACCCACGGCCTCCTGTAGACCAGGCGAGGTAGTCAACATCTCCTAGCCATCGTGATGATGAGAGAGAGAGACATGCAGACTCCAAATATACAGCAGCAGCAGCAGTCGGTATCGAACCCACGACCTCGTGTAGACCGGGCGAGGTAGTTAACATCTCCTAGTCACCGTGATGATGATGATGATGAGAGAGTGACACGAAAACTCCAAATATACAGCAGCAGGCATCTTCAGGGTCGCGATCGAACCCACGACCTCCTGTATACCAGGCGAGGTAGTTAACATCTAGCCACCGTGATGATGATGAGAAAGAGAGAGACTCCAAATATACAGCAGCAGGCGTCAGGGTCGGGATCGAACCCACGACCTCCTGTAGACCAGGCGAGGTAGTTGAGATCTCCTAGCCACCGTGATGATGATGAGAGAGAGACATGCAAACTCCAAATATACAGCAGGCAACGTCAGGGTCGCGATCGAACCCACGACCTCCTGTATACCAGGCGAGGTAGTCAACATCTGCGGGCCACCGTGGAAAGAAACCCGAGACAAACCCTTGCATGCAAAGTGGGTGGGGGGGGAGGGTAACATTCAAATCCCCAGTGATTGCCCAAGCTCTGCGGTTCTATAATGTGGCGTAAGGCACCCTGGGGGTGCCAAGGCATATAAGTTAATGTTGACAATCATGTTTGGTGAAATACTACACGTGTCTTGACACGTAGCAGAACGGTAGCCGAGCTGGTAGTCAAAATACGTTTGGATGGTGGCAAACATGCAAACGTGTAAGCAAATGTATAAAAGTTTCAGTTTGACCTGGGTTTATGTAGGGTGGGTGGTTGCCTGGGTGGTTGAGAGTGGGTGGTTGAGTGGTGGCTGTGTGGGTGGTTGTGTGGGTGGTTGAGTGGGTGGTTGAGTGCGTGGTTGAGTGGGTGGTTGAGTGGGTGGTTGAGTGGATGGTTGAGAGTGTGGGTGGGTGTGTGGTGGGTGTGTGGGTGGGTGCTTGAGTGAATGGGTGAGTGGATAAGTGAGTGAGTGCGGGCACGTGTGTGGGTGGTTGAGAGTGTGGGTGGGTGTGTGTGCGAGTGTGTGAGTGGGTGGTTGAATGAGTGGGTTTGTGAGTGAATGAGTGGCTTAGTGAGTGAATGAGTGGGTTTCGTGAGTGAATGGGTGCATGAGAGGATGTATGGGTGTGTGAGTGGGTGCATGAATAATTGCGTAGGCGGGTGTGTAAGTGGGCGAGTGCATGAGTGAGGGGGGCGACTGGGTGGGTGAATGGGTGAGTTGGTAAATAGGTGGGTGAGTGGCTGCGTGAGTGAGTGTGTAAGTGGGCGAGTGCATGAATGAGTGAGTGGGTGAGTGGATATGTGGGTGAGTGAGTGAGTGGGTGAGTGGATATGTGGGTGAGTGAGTGAGTGGGTGAGTGGATATGTGGGTGAGTGGGTGAGTTGGTGAGTGGACATGTGGGCGAGTGGGTGAGTTGTCATGTGGGTGAGCGCGTAAGTGGGTGAGTGGGACATGTGGGTGAGTGAGTGAGTGGGTGAGTGGACATGTGGGTGAGTTAGTGAGTGGGTGAGTGGACATGTGGGTGGGGGAGTGAGTGGGTGAGTGGACATGTGGGTGGGCGAGTGAGTGGGTGAGTGGACATGTGGGTGAGTGGGTGAAAGTGTGGACCAGAGCGGTGCAAGTGGGACGAAATTATTTATTTTATTTTTAAACGACAGCAGATTTCGAGTCGATGTTTGTTGTGAGCAGAAGAAAAAAACCTCACACGAGATCGGGGGTGGTGGCGTTTGACCCCCCAATGCGTCACCGAATGGACGAAAGAAAGCGACGATGATGACGATGATGACGACCGTGGCCGCGTGCCGTACAGCGGGGGCTGTCTGGTAGTGCAGCGAGACGGGAGGAGAGCCAACGGAGAGTGGGAGACGATCCGTGGGGATGAATGCGGGAAGAGAATTTCCGCTGCACATACCCAACCAAACCCCCCCCTCCACCCCCCCCCCTCCACCCCTCCCCCCCCCCCAGGCCACCACATCCGCAGCGCACAGCTGGGTGGAGGTGACGTCCCCGACGGGGCGGCTGGTGGTGGGCGGCACGCTGGAGGTGACGGTGCGGGCGCACGACCACCTGGGCCGCCCCAAGGGCTACGGCGGAGACTTCCTAGAGGTGGGTGGAGCCACGCAGCCCCTCCCCCCCGTCCCCCCCCCCCCGTCCCACCCCCCCCGTGTCTCCCCCCGTGTCACCACGCGTCCCCCCGTGTCTCTCTACGCGTGTGTGTCCACGTCTCCCCGTGTCCCCCCGTGTCTCCGTCCCCCCGTGTCTCCCCCCGCGTCTCCCCCCGTGTCTCCCCCCCCCGCGTGTGTGTCCGTGTCTCCCCCCGTGTCTCCACACGTCCCCCCGTGTCTCCCCCCGTGTCTACGCGTGTGTGTCCACGTCTCCCCGTGTCCCCCCGTGTCTCCCCCGTGTCTCCGTTCCCCCGTGTCTCCCCCCGCGTCTCCCCCCGCGTCTCCCCCCGTGTCTCCCCCCGTGTCTCCCCGCGCGTCTCCCCCTGCGTCTCCCCCCGTGTCTCCCCCCGTGTCTCCCCGCGCGTCTCCACGCGTCCCCCCCGTGTCTTCCCCCGTGTCTCCCCGCGCGTGTGTGTCCACGTCTCCCCACGTGTCTCCCCGTGTCTCCACGCGTCCCCCCGTGTCTCCCCCGTGTCTCCCCCCGTGTCTCCCCCCGTGTCTCCCCCCGTGTCTCCCCCGTGTCTCCCCCCGTGTCTCCCCCCGTGTCTCCCCCCGTGTCTCCCCCCGTGTCTCCCCCCGTGTCTCCCCCCGTGTCTCCCGCCGTGTCTCCCCCCGTGTCTCCCCCCGTGTTTCCCCCCGTGTCTCCCCCCGTGTCTCCCCCCGTGTCTCCCCCCGTGTCTCCCCCCGTGTCTCCCCCCGTGTCTCCCCCCGTGTCTCCCCCCGTGTCTCCCCCCGTGTCTCCCCCCGTGTCTCCCCCCGTGTCTCCCCCCGTGTCTCCCCCCGTGTCTCCCCGCGCGTGTGTCCACGTCTCCCCACGTGTCTCCCCGTGTCTCCACGCATCCCCCCGTGTCTCCCCCCGTGTCTCCACGCGTGTGTGTCCACGTCTCCCCGTGTCCCCCCGTGTCTCCCCCCGCGTGTGTGTCCACGTCTCCCCGTGTCTCCCCCCGCGTCTCCTCCCGTGTCTCCCCCCATATCTCCCCCCACGTCTCCCCACGTGTCCCCCCGCGTCTCCACGCGTCCCCCCGTGTCTCCCCCCGTGTCTCCACGCGTGTGTGTGTCCACGTCTCCCCACGTGTCCCCCCGTGTCTCCACGCGTCCCCCCAGGCCCGTCTGCTCTCGGTCCCCGTGGGCCGTGCGGCCGTCCCCGCCGTGCGGTACGCGGACCGAGGGGACGGCACCTACGGCGTGGCCTTCCCGCTGGCGTGGGCCGGCGCCGCCACGGTGGCCGTGAGCCTCGTGCACCCCGCCGAGGCCGTCCAGCTGCTGGCGCGCCTGCGGGAGGAGCGGCCCGACAAGGTCTACTTCAGGTCGAGTGCGGGGCCACCACCACGACCATGACGACTGTGACGACGATGACGACGATGACGACGACGATGATGATGTTGATGACGACGATGATGACGATGACGGCGGTGGTGGTGATGGCGACGATGACGACAACAATGGTGACGACGATGACAACGATGATGATGGCGATGACGGTGGTGATGTTGGTGGTGGTAGTGGTGATAATAATGACGGTGGCGACGACGACAACGGTAGTGGTGGTGATGATGGTGGTGGTTGTGATGACAGTGTTGGTTGTGATGGTGGTGATGACGATGATGGTGGTGCCGGTGACTGATCCTGCCTGGACCTATTGGTCAACCTCGTAGTGCAGATGAATGGGTGGGGGTGAGTGTGGGGGTGAGTGTGGGGGTGAGTGTGGGGGTGAGTGTGGGGGTGAGTGTGGGGGTGAGTGTGGGGGTGAGCGAGCGAATGAATGGGTGAGTGTGGTGGGGGGTGAGTGTGGCGGTGAGTGTGGGGGTGAGAGTGGGGGTGAGTGTGGCGGTGAGTGTGGCGGTGAGTGTGGGGGTGAGCAAAAATAACAATGAGTCCAACAACAACAAAAACAATGGACAATTGCTCCAATCACTATAACAATTGCCATCGTCATCCCCTCTCCTGGCAGGAGTCTCTTCCGCCTGGGCACTCTCTCCGAGACCACCGAGTGCAACATCCTCCCAGAATACCTCTCCCCGCCCCCATCGCCGCCCCCATCGCCCTCCCCGTGGTGGCGGCGGTGGTGGCGGTGGCCGTGGCGGCGGCCGGTCCGGGCCCCCGGGGGCCGCCGGCCGCTGTGCGACTTGTCGGGCCGGAGGGAGGCGAGCGAGCGCTGGGTGTGCGTGCGCCCGCGGGCTCCCGCGCTGCCCTGCTCCTCGCGCCGCGACCACTCGAAGGGCGGATACCGCGGCGGGTTGCTCACGGCGGGGGACGAGCGGCTCCTGCAGACGTGAGTGGGTGGGGTGGTGGGTGGGTGGGTGAGTGGGTGGGTGGGTGGGGGTGAGTGTGGGTGGTTGTGTGAGTGTGGCTGAGTGTGGGTGGGTGAGCGTGGGTGGTGGGTGAGTGTGGGTTGGTGAGTGTGGGTGGGTGGGTGTGGGTGGGTGGGTGTGGGTGGGTGAGTGTGGGTGGGTGAGTGTGGGTGGGTTGGTGAGTGTGGGTTGGTGAGTGTGGGTTGGTGAGTGTGGGTGGGTTGGTGAGTGTGGGTGGGTTAGTGTGGGTGGGTGAGTGTGGGTTGGTGGGTGAGTTGGCGAGTGTGGATTGGTGAGTGTGGGTGGGTGGGTGGGTGAGTGTGGGTGGGTGGGTGAGTGTGGGTGGGTGAGTGTGGGCGGGTTGGTGGGTGGGGCTGGGTGGGGAGGGGCTGGTCACCCCGTGGTGCCCTTATAAAACTCAACGTTTCACCTACTCACGCCGGCTTGTGCCCGCCCTCACAGTTCGCCCATATGTGCGGAATACACCACGCCGCCGTTGACCCTGCAGGCCATTGACCGAGCAACCCGACGTGTTCCTACCAGCTCCCTCCGCAGCAGGAATGTGTTTACCTGGAACACGAAAAAATTAGTTTACAGTCTAAACACTTTGACAGTCCATTGACAGAGTGGGAGCTGCGTTGAGTTCTGTGTCTCACAGAAGCTGATGGCGGACACGCCGCTTCTCGGCAAAACGTAGAGAAGGCCACCTTGACAAGGGATGAAGACTAAGATCCCCCGTGTAGCCTTCGGTGAATGGGTGAGCGAGTGAATGAGTGAATGGGTGAGCGATTGAGTGGGTGAGTGAATGGGTGAGCGATTGAGTGGGTGAGTGAATGGGTGAGCGATTGAATGAATAAGTGGGTGAGTGAGTGAATGGGTGAACGATAGAGTGAATGGGTGAGCGATAGAGTGAATGGGTGAGCGATAGAGTGAATGGGTGAGCGATTGAGTGAATGGGTGAGCGATAGAGTGAATGGGTGAGCGATTGAGTGAATGGGTGGGTGGGTGAGTGAGTGAGTGAATGGGTGAGCGATAGAGTGAATGGGTGGGTGAGTGAGTTAGTGAGTGAGTGAATGGGTGAGTGAGTGAGTGAATTGGTGAGCGATAGAGTGAATGAGTGAGTGAGTGAATGGGTGAGCGATGGAGTGAATGAGTGAGTGAGTGAATGGGTGAGCGATAGAGTGAGCGGGTTTGAGGATTGACGCTCATCTCCCTGTCGTGATCTTTGTGATCACTCAACGAGAAACACGCACACACACACACGCGCGCGCACACACGCACACACGCGCGCACACACGCACACACACGCGCGCACACGCACGCACACACACGCGCGCACACACACACGCGCGCGCGCACACGCACACACACACACACGCGCATAATGTATTTAAATGAGCGTTTATTTAAATTCGCCTCATTTGCTATTCACAAAACCTAAGGCCTGCACCCGGGCAGTTTTGTACATTTGACTTTTGTGTAAATGTGCAGAAGGATTCAGATATGTTATTTTTTTTTAAGAATCTCGTCTTATTTGTGCATGTTGCAATAAGTCCCAGGGAGCTTTAATGGCAATGTTGAGTTCCCCTGATGGTCTTTCATGATCTCTGTGGGTCTCCGTGTATCTCTATGGGTATCTAAATATCTCTCTGTGGGTGTCTGTGTACCACTGGATCTCTGTATATCTCTATTGGTCTAAATATTCAAGTTATTGGTGATGATTGGTTATCGGTGGCATCAGCATCGTCATCATCAACATCGTCATCATCATCGGCAACATTAACATCATCAACATCGTCATCATCAACGGCAACACCATCATCGGCACCATCATCGGCACCATCATCATCGTCATCATCATCGTCATCATCATCGGCGCCATCATCATAAGCAGTATCATCATCATCAGCAGCATCATTATCAGCAGCAGCAGCATCGTCGCTACTGCCAGCAGTAATCGTCACTGTGGCCAGGATAGTGGTATTGTGTAGGATGTTACAAGTCAGCCACGGTGGCTATGAGATGTTGACTACCTCGCCTGGCATGCAGGAGGTCGTGGGTTCGATCCCGACCCTGACGCCTGCTGCTGTATATTGGAGTTTACGTGTCTCTCCCCGTGGTGGCTAGGAGATGTTAACTACCTCGCCTGGCATGCAGGAGGTCGTGGGTTCGATCCCGACCCTGACGCCTGCTGCTGTATATTGGAGTTTACGTGTCTCTCCCCGTGGTGGCTATGAGATGTTAACTACCTCGCCTGGCATGCAGGAGGTCGTGGGTTCGATCCCGACCCTGACGCCTGCTGCTGTATATTGGAGTTTACGTGTCTCTCCCCGTGGTGGCTAGGAGATGTTAACTACCTCGCCTGGCATGCAGGAGGTCGTGGGTTCGATCCCGACCCTGACGCCTGCTGCTGTATATTGGAGTTTACGTGTCTCTCCCCGTGATGGCTAGGAGATGTTAACTACCTCGCCTGGCATGCAGGAGGTCGTGGGTTCGATCCCGACCCTGACGCCTGCTGCTGTATATTGGAGTTTACGTGTCTCTCCCCGTGGTGGCTAGGAGATGTTAACTACCTCGCCTGGCATGCAGGAGGTCGTGGGTTCGATCCCGACCCTGACGCCTGCTGCTGTATATTGGAGTTTACGTGTCTCTCCCCGTGGTGGCTAGGAGATGTTAACTACCTCGCCTGGCATGCAGGAGGTCGTGGGTTCGATCCCGACCCTGACGCCTGCTGCTGTATATTGGAGTTTACGTGTCTCTCCCCGTGGTGGCTAGGAGATGTTAACTACCTCGCCTGGCATGCAGGAGGTCGTGGGTTCGATCCCGACCCTGACGCCTGCTGCTGTATATTGGAGTTTACGTGTCTCTCCCCGTGGTGGCTAGGAGATGTTAACTACCTCGCCTGGCATGCAGGAGGTCGTGGGTTCGATCCCGACCCTGACGCCTGCTGCTGTATATTGGAGTTTACGTGTCTCTCCCCGTGGTGGCTATGAGATGTTAACTACCTCGCCTGGCATGCAGGAGGTCGTGGGTTCGATCCCGACCCTGACGCCTGCTGCTGTATATTGGAGTTTACGTGTCTCTCCCCGTGGTGGTTAGGAGATGTTAACTACCTCGCCTGGCATGCAGGAGGTCGTGGGTTCGATCCCGACCCTGACGCCTGCTGCTGTATATTGGAGTTTACGTGTCTCTCCCCGTGGTGGCTATGAGATGTTAACTACCTCGCCTGGCATGCAGGAGGTCGTGGGTTCGATCCCGACCCTGACGCCTGCTGCTGTATATTGGAGTTTACGTGTCTCTCCCCGTGGTGGCTAGGAGATGTTAACTACCTCGCCTGGCATGCAGGAGGTCGTGGGTTCGATCCCGACCCTGACGCCTGCTGCTGTATATTGGAGTTTACGTGTCTCTCCCCGTGGTGGCTATGAGATGTTAACTACCTCGCCTGGCATGCAGGAGGTCGTGGGTTCGATCCCGACCCTGACGCCTGCTGCTGTATATTGGAGTTTACGTGTCTCTCCCCGTGGTGGCGTGGATTTTTGCCTGGGTCCACCGGTTTTTCCCCCTCCACATTTAGATTCCACGTCACCACGAGTTTTAGAGCATTTGGCTGTTGTTCTAAATTCTAGATTTGAAGCTTTCATGGCTGCAAGGATTCATATTCTTAGGTTTTTTTCGGTAAAGTCACGTAGGTTAAAAAATTTAAATTATAAAAGTTAAATACAAATAAAATAAAAATCACGACGTTTCAGAGGCAACACAAGCTTCCGTCTTCAGGTGGAACCATCACAGCACGATTGCTGCATCAAGTAAAGAGAAATTCCAATAAAACCGTCCTAGTAAAGCGATGGGTATGACCTTGTTATCTCGGCATCTCTTGAGGAAGGCCAGCGTCTCGAGAAGCTGTGACTTCTTGTCTCGTTGTCTGTTAAAAACTCAGATAGGTGGAATTCCTCCCCGGAGAGGTTGTTCTCAAGTTCCACACGGTGATGATGATGAGTTACTTCGTTGAGCTATCATTGGTGACGGCCAGGTGGCTTCTGATGGAGAACTACACAGTTCCGTGGGCCTTGCCTGGTATAGTAAAGATTGTTTCTAGTTTAGTTTGAGGTGTTTCACGGCTCCGGGTATGGGAAACGCTCCTCAAATCGACTCTGTTTGGGTGAAGTGTCATCTTAAGAGCATTTCTCAGAGGCCTTCATGCAGCAGTGGGTAGACCATTCCTGCTGCTGCTGACTATGATGATGATGATGCTGCTGACGATGATGATGACGATAATGATGATGCTGACGACGCCGGCAAAACAGAGAGAAGGCCACCTTGACAAGGGATAAAGACAAAGATCCCCCGTGTAGCCTTCAGTGAATGGGTGAGCGAGTGAATGAGTGAATGGGTTAGCGAATGAATGAGGGAATGGGTGAGCGATTGAATGAATGAGTGGGTGAGTGAGCGAGTGAGTGAATGGGTGAGCGAGTGAATGAGTGAGTGAATGTGTGAGCGATTGAGTGGGTGAGTGAGTTAGTGAATGGGTGAGCGATTGAGTAAGTGAGTGAATGTGTGAGCGATTGAGTGAATGAGTGGGTGAGTGAGTTAGTGAATGGGTGAGCGATTGAGTGAATGAGTGGGTGAGCGAGTGAATGAGTGAATGGGTGAGCGATAGAGTGAATGAGTGGGTGAGTGAATGAGTGGGTGAGTGAATGGGTGAGCGATTGCGGGAATGAGTGAGTGAATGAGTGAGCGATTGAGTGAATGAGTGGGTGAGTGAGCGAGTGAATGGGTGAGCGAGTGAGTGAGCGATTGAGTGAGTGGGTGGGTGAGTGAATGAGTGGGTGAGTGAGTTAGTGAATGGGTGAGCAATTGAGTGAATGAGTGGGTGAGTGAGTGAATGTGTGAGCGATTGAGTGAATGAGTGAGTGAATGAGTGAGCGATTGAATGAGTGGGTGAGTGAATGGGTGAGCGATTGAGTGAGTGAATGAGTGAGCG